TTACTGTTGTGTTAGCTCCTGGGGACCTCATCCAGATCCAGGTCATGAGCTGCTTTTATTATAACTATGTATATTTATGTCAGGGGCCACAGTGGCTTAGATGTTAAGACGCTGAGCTGCAGACTGGAAGGTCTGTAGCTCGGTGCCGCGTGGTGGAGTGAGCTCCTGTCTCTGGCCCCAGCTCCTGCCAACCTAGCAGTTTGAAAGCAAGAAATTGCAAGTAGATAAATAGGTACCACTTCAGTGGGAAGGTAACAGCATTCCATGCACCTGGGCGTTTAGTCATGCCGGCCACATGACCATGAAAATGTTTTCGGACAGTGCTGGCTCTTTGGCTTGGAAATGGAGATGAGCACCGCCCCCTAGAGTCGGATTTGACTGACTTTCAAGCAAGAGAAACCCTTACTTTTACTATATTTATGTCATGCTGTTTGTAGTCACTTTTCAGCTAAAAAAACCTTGCAAATGGACGAATTAGAAGAATGTATTAATAACAACTCATTTTGTGGCTCTTGTGAGCTGTTACACAGTCAAGGAGGTCTGTCCTCCTGCTCCTCTAGGAAATAGTGGAGCCAGTGAAGCCATCTGGTCTGCTCAGCAGCTTCCAGTGGGATGATTGCTAAAACGCTCTGCTGTCCTGGCTCCTCTGGGTGAGACCCAAAGGAGATAGTGAAATGCGGAGGTGACACCTGCAATTTCTTTTGTATATTATATAGTGGCTGGGTTTTACTATTTATTTAGCAGATATATTTGCAGGATTATTTATGTCTCTGTTTCTCTGAAACTGTAGGGCAGATCCTAGGGGGACTCACTAAGCTTTCTTTAGAAAAGTATGATAGACGCTACACTTATTGAGCCTTGGAAATTGCATAGGCCTTTGAATACATAGCAAATTCTCCCAATGATTCTTTCGTACATGGGGATCTTACAAGCATACAGCCCCCACCCCAAATTTTGCAGTTGTTTGTGGGTGGCAAGGAAATTGCTGTGTTCATATCCTGTGTTAAATCTGGCTATTTTCATAAATGTGATACTAGCAGTGGGTAGACCATTGGCAAGTACTTTAATGACTGTTGCACTAAGAATTTTATATAGCGATTTTTCCCCCACATAGGAATTGCAGAACTGAAATGCAAATGGGGCAAGAAGAAGCAAAAACTACAAAGCAGCGTAAACAAATTGTGTTATGATTATTGTTGTTGTTGTTGTTCAGTCGCACAGTCAAGTCCAACTCTTTGCGACCCCATGGGCCACATCACACCAGGCCCTCCTGTCTTCCGTCGTGCTTCGGAGTTTGCTTAATTTCATGTTTGTTGCATCAATAACACTGTCTAACCATCTCATCCTTTGCCGTCCCCTTCTTCTTTGACCTTCAATCTTTCCCAGCATTAGGGTCGTCTCCAGTGAGTGCTCCCTTCTCATTAGGTGGACGAAGTATTTGAGCTTCAGCTTCAGTATCTGGCCTTCCAAGGAACAGTCAGGGTTGATTTCCTTTAGAATAGACTGATTTGGTCTCCTTGCAGTCCAAGGGACTCTCAAGAATCTTCTCTAGCACCATAATTCAAAAGAATCTGTTCTTTGGCACTCAGCCTTCCTTATAGTCTAACTCTCACAGCCAGACATTACTACTTGGAATACCATTGCTTTGACCATATGGACTTTGGTTGGCAGGGTGATGTCTCTACTTTTTATTATGCTGTCTAGGTTTGCCATCGCTTTCCTCTCAAGGAGCAGGCGTCTTTTAATTTCATGGTTGCAGTCACCGTCTGCAGTGATCTTGGATCCCAGGAACGTGAAGTCTGTCACTGCTTCCGCGACTTCTCCTTCTATTTGCCAAGGAGTGATGGGGCCGGATGCCATGATCTTAGATTTTTTGATGTTGAGTTTCAAGCCAACCTTTGCGCTCTCCTCTTTTATCTTTAGCAAGAGGCTCTTTAGGTCCTCTTCACTTTCTGCCATTAAAGTGGTATCATCTGCATATCTGAAGTTGTTGATCTTTTTCCCGGCAATCTTAATTCTGGCTTGTGATTCATCTAGGCCGGCATTTCACATTATGTACTCTGGATATAAATTAAATAAGGTGACAATATACATCTTTGTCGTACTCCTTTTCCAATGCTAAAACAATCAGTTGTTCCATATCCGGTTCTAACTGTCGCTTCTTGACCCTTATACAGATTGGCGATGGCGGTCGCTCTCCCCAGAGCTTGAGGAGGCGATTAGCACACCATCGGCATGGAGGGGGGCCACCTCAAGTGGCACTCCCACGGAGCCTTTGTAAAAGGCTCCAGGCCAGAGAGCTTTAAGGGATAGCCTCTTCGATGGCTTGCTGCAGGAGAATCGAGGCTTCTCTCCGCTCTGACAATCCTACCGATGAGTGGCCTTACGGCACAAGCTAAACCGACCAGGACAAGTGGGGGAGACCGAGCGGAAAAACGATTGATGTGAGCGAGGTCAGGAATGTGACCAACAATGAACGTGAGTTCTAAGTAAACGAACTTTGATAAACGTCACCCCCCCTCCCCGTGTGAAAAGCAGAGTGCAAAGAGGGACGCCTCTGAAGCGCGACAGATAAACGCAGCGAAGGGGGAGTGGGAGGAAACAGACAGTGTGTGTATTTTGAGAGACTTACTTGAGTGCAAATAGCGAATTGACGAGTGCTTCGAGCCCGGAAGAAGTGGTTTGAAAGTGTAAACAATGTTGAAAAATGGCAGCATCTCGAGGAAAGTTTAAAGCAAAGCCTGGTAGTCAGAGTCCGAGGCCGGAAGAGGGAGCTGACGTCATGAAGCTGTTAGCGGATATGCTCAAGCCAGTGATGGATCAGCTCAATGGTATTAACCAGCAACTGACCTCGTTAAATCAAAACTTCGCTTCACAACAGCTACAACTGGCAGAAATGGGAAAAAAGTGGAGCTGGTGGCTGAGAAAGTTACAGAGATGGACACCTCAAGCAAGAAGATGAAGAAAAGAATGGGTGAAGTGGAAACGAAACAAAATCTTCAAGAAAATCGTTTGTTGCAGCTGCAAATGGAAAAGGCTAATATGATTCACAGGTTCCAGGGGGTTCTTGAGACAGAAAAGAAGATTTGAAGAAGACTCTGGGTGAGATTATCACTCCAGTGACAGGCTTGCCAGTGGAGGAAATAATAAAAGACATGGAGACAGCTTATAGGGCTTACTCCAATTATATTAAAAAAATAGCCTGCCTGGAGAGATTGTGGTGAGATTTGTAAGAAGACAGACCAGAGATGCTATATTCAAGGCAACTTCAGCAACTCCACTGAAATTTGGGAATACAGTTATCAAGACTTTAAAAGACATTTCATCTGAAATTCGTCAGAAGAGAAAGAGCTACATCTTTTTTGGTGTTAGTTCTAGGAGGTGTTGTAGGTCTTCAAAGAACCAGTCCAGCCTCTTCTGCGTCAGTGGTTGGGGCATAGACTTGGATTACTGTGATGTTGAATGGTTTGCCTAGGATTCAGACCGAGATCATTCTGTCGTTTTTGAGATTGTATCCCATTACTGCTCTTTTCACTCTCTTGTTGACTATAAAGGCCACACCTTTTTTTCTTCGGGATTCTTGGCCACAGTAGTAGATATAATGGTCTTCTGAGTTAAATTCGCCCATTCCTGTCCACTTTAGTTCACTGATTCCCAAGATATCAATGTTCAGTCTTGCCATCTCATTTTTGACCATGTCAAGCTTACCTTGATTCATAGATCTTACATTCCAGGTTCCTATGCAGTATTGTTCTTTGCAGCATCGTACTTTCCTTTCACTGTCAGACACATCCACAGCTAAACGTCCTTTCAGCTTTGGCCCAGCCACTTCATTCTTTCCGGGGTTACTTGTACTTGCCCTCTGCTCCATTAGGAGCAAGTATTTCCCATTGACATTCCAAAAAGTTCCATTAGTGGAGTCTTCCTTAATTCCTTTTGTGCTTCAGCTATTAGTGCCATTACACGTCATTACCAAGCACCTATCTGCCTTGTGTCTGTTCTGCCTTGTGTCTGTTACACTTAAATGGAAGTAGGGGTGGGGCAGACCTTGTGTGAGTCAAGAGTCCGGCGCCTAGTTTGCACAAAATTCAGCTGCCGAAATAATAGGAGGCAAAAAGATCACACAACAATCTTGCAAGGAATGTTGTGGAGGTATCTATGGCAGTCATGTTGTTCCCAGTGCAATGCCATTCTTCCCCATTTACTGAGCTTTGACTGGAAAAGTAAGAATCCCAGAGGAGTAGCAGTGGACAAAAGGGATTACATTAGTATACCACAGAACAAGTTTTGTTATCAATTACACATATTTATCTCTTGCACATTATTCTAGAAAGTATAACATTTATTTTGGAAAAAACAGTCTCTACCTTCCAGAATTTTAAGTGTAGGTGAAGAACTCAAAACATCATATTTCATTATGCAGATGGACAGCTTAATAGCATCCCATCCTCCCAGACTTGCAGTGGAATCCTAAACAGAGTTACTCGCTTCTAAATCCATTGGAGTAAGTGGGTGTGAGGCAATCCTAACAGGTGGCATTGTTAGGAAGTCTGAATCAGATGTGGGAATTAAACTTGGTCCTACCACAATCTCAACTTTCTCCTTGGGCTCTTCTGCCCTTAAGGGACTAAACAGTTCTGATGAACTGTCCTTTCTTTGGTTATCATATTGTATAAATCTTCTGTGAACCCTACCCCAAGACTATACATTTTTTCTACCATGCTAAAAATTGAACCAAACTACTGCATCCTATTCTGCAAAATGTAAAGTTCATGAAGAGTCTCTTTTATTGTTCATCACTCAGTTTGGAGACCGGGGCTGTGAAGGGGCTGTGAAGGCAATATGGCTGTGCAAATTCTTGATCCCTAGGTTCCTGCGCATGTAACCAACTATTTGTTCTGTAGAAGCAGAAGAATGAGAGCTTTTTAAAGTTAATGGTACATTGTATATAAAACGATGCTGGGCTCAGGTCTGATCGACTTTCTCTCTCTCTCCTGCAGGCGACTGGATGCCAACTTGATTTCTGTGGTTCCAGATAAGAGCTTTGAGGGGCTGCCCTCCCTACGTCACCTTTGGTTGGATGATAATGCCCTGACAGAGATCCCTGTCAAAGCTCTCAACAATCTCCCAGCACTACAAGCCATGACTTTGGCACTCAACCAAATCTGGCACATTCCTGACTATGCTTTCCAGAACCTCACCAGCCTTGTGGTGCTGTAAGTGTTCTAATTTATATTTACATTAAAGATTTCTTAAAAAAAAAAGAGGAAGTCTTTTCTTGTAACACAATGTACTGACTAGAGAATTAAGAGGTCAATGCATCTCTCTGGGCAGTGCCTCATAAAGGACATTTTCTCAGCCCAAATAGTAGCCAATTACGTTCACAAAGAGGTGTTGTTTTAGGAGCATGATGTATTATTGTCTGAGAACCCGAAAATCTCTGTGGTATCGCCCTCCCCAATACTTATAGAACTTTTATAATTGTGCAGTTTAAATATAAAACCCTATTCTATGTTATGTTGAACAAATTAAGCAAACTATATCACTTCTAGTAGTTATCCAGCTGGGGCACATTTATTTCATAGGCAAGTAAGAAAGAGTAAACATTCTCCAGTTAGCAATTATATGGCTAACTGGTACCTTTGTAGTGGCCTAGTTCATAAATGGCAGTGGTTTGTTGTGTTATTCATCTTCTAAAATAGAAGCTTATGTCTGTAAATTAGTTAGCAATTTATTTTTTGGTGTTGATCAGTAAGTTTCCATGTAATTACCGAGTTTTCTTATTGCCCTAGAACTACTGCCGTAGTTTAAAAGCTTCATTATGAGATACATTTAAAGCAGCACATTTGAGCCTGAAAATACACATGCTTTGGACCACGCTATTAAAACTATCACTGGTAAACGGAAGTTAAGCAAAAGCTTACCACGTGTGTGGTGCTAATAATACTATACACGTTAAAAGAGTTGAATGGGGGAAAGGGTATTTCCTGAAAATTTTCTACATTCATTGACAAGTGAAGGTCTCTGTAGCTATACTGGAAAATGTACAATGGCTTGTTTTGAGAGTAATGTTTAGTTCTAAGCATAGGCAGGGCTTTGGCGCAACAAGAATGGTCGCATTGGGGAGAGCTCCCATGTGACAGCTGGATCAGTGGCTCTTTTAGAGGGGTTCAGGGGATCTCAAACTCCAATGAGCTTCCTGAAGAGAAGCTCATTGCAAGGGGCTTGACTTGGATTCCTCATGCGCAACAGCAAGCAGTTGGAAGTCTGAGAGCGCCCCAACGCAGGAGCCGACCGAGTGCGCCCATGTCAGACATGGGTGCCGAGTTGTGACTACCCCAAATGGGAAGAAACTGGAACCTCATCCATAACATCAATGAAGAACAACACCATAAGTATGCTTAAAAGCAACAACAACAGAAAATCTACTTACTTAACAATAAAGCCCCTTTAAAGTTTAAAAAGAGAAAGGAATGGAGGGGTGAAGAACTCTTTCCGGTCCCACCCCCCTTTCCTCTGGCAGCGGCCACGAGAAGAACTTCAAGTGATTTTTAAATGGATTCCTAGGCTTTTGTTTGAGACTGTAATAATTTTCCCTGTGGAATAAAAATTGGAGAAGAATTGGCTTCAATTGTTTTTGGACTTTAGTGATCTAGAAATATATAGTCCCTTTTTCTTTTCCTTTTGTATGGAGCTATAAGCAAAAACTCTGGAATAATAGCAAGACTTTATAAAGATTTACCTCCATTTTAATAAGGAATATAAGCAATTATACTTTAATAATTGGAGTTTTTTTAAAGGAGAAAGAAGAACTGGATCTTACCCTGAACTCTTTATATATTATATTCTCACAACATCTTATTTTTATGTTTGTTCAACTGTAAAGTACATTTTGTTTTGATTGTCTTCTTCTGTAATGTAGCCAATTGATAAGATTCTTGAACTCTCTTTAATATGACTAAAACAGCTATTTTTTGTAAATATCAGTGGGTGTGATTTGTAAAATCGTGCAGAAAAAGAACCTTGAGACTCTTTGATTTTAACATATAGTTTTAAAAATGGATGACACAGATAGATCACAACATGGTGTCAGAGGTTGTATTTTCATTTCAAGACCTCAAAATTTTAATCCAAAACTCGATTATTGCTGCTGTACACACAGCAATGAAAGAACCTTTTGCCTCTAAGCAAGACAAAATGGATCTACTGCAACAACAAACATCAAGCAAGATAGAGGAAGGCCAGCTACAATGGAAGGAGGAGAAGCAAGGACACTTCTGTATAGAAGATATAAAAGAAATTTATAATCTAAGGAGAGGATCCAGCTGAGGATTTTGGTGGGAGAACTGGTCTGGGAGTGTGTGGAAGCGCTTGGAGTTTTTGCAGATTCCTGGCTGCTTGAGAGAGGAAAGGGCATTGTTTGACTGTGATTGACTGCAATTGAGAGGAAAAGGAAGGGGCATTGTTTTGCATGTGATTGAGTGCCTGGGTGCATTTGAATAGCTGCTGCCAGCCCTCTGCTGGGGGAGGCCTCTATTTAAGGAAACACCTGGCCAGAGGCAGAGGAGACCCAGCTGAGCTCTGAGCAGGAGCAGGAGCAGGAGACAGAGGGGTGAGTGGTTTTTTATTTGCTTTCAGCGGAGAGGATCCAGCTGAGGATTTTGGTGGGAGAACTGGTCTGGGAGTGTGTGGAAGCGCTTGGAGTTTTTGCAGATTCCTGGCTGCTTGAGAGAGGAAAGGGCATTGTTTGACTGTGATTGACTGCAATTGAGAGGAAAAGGAAGGGGCATTGTTTTGCATGTGATTGAGTGCCTGGGTGCATTTGAATAGCTGCTGCCAGCACTCTGCTGGGGGAGGCCTCTATTTAAGGAAACACCTGGCCAGAGGCAGAGGAGACCCAGCTGAGCTCTGAGCAGGAACAGGAGCAGGAGACAGAAGGGTGAGTATTTAAGAAAGCTCCTTGACAGAGGCACGAGCCTCTGGCACGAGCCGAAGGGCGAGCTAAAGGGCTCTTTGCCCGTGGCTCTTAGCCCAGGGACTCTTGGACTAGGGGCTCTGTGAGACGCCCAAGAAGAGGCAGAAAGTGAAAACCCTAGGCTCCTTGTTTTCCCCATAAAGTAATTTGACTTTGACAAGAAAAAAACACATAAATACAAAGGGATTTAAAAGGGGGATTACATTTACTTATTTTAAAAGAATTATGAAGCCAGAATGCCAGCAGGGGGTTGGGGGCTATCCAGTGTTTTGCACGGAGTGTCACATGTATGACTATCTGCCCACTGGGCAGAAGTCTTGGGTGTGTCCTCGGTGCAAGGAGCTCCTGGTTCTCAGGGAACGTGTGTGCTCCCTTGAGGCCAAGGTGGCTGACCTGGAGAAGCAGAGACAGTCAGCTAGGCGCACAGAAAAGACTCTCGGGGACTTGTTAGCTACGTCCCACTCTGGATCTGGCAGCCCCGCTGCTGTCAGGGAGCATGAGGGTCTAGGGGAAACAGGGCACCGTGCTGAGGATAAGGGGAATGTGCCCTCAGAAGGGACCTCTTCCCCAGCTGGTGAGCGGTTATCCTTTTGCACCAAGGAACCATCCCTGGGCAGGGTGGGAGGGGGGCTCTTGGTAGTGGGTGATTCGATCCTTAGGCAGGTAGACAGCTGAGTGGCGAACCCGCGTACTGACCGTATGGTGACTTGCCTGCCTGGTGCAAAGGTAGCGGACATTACGTGTGTTTTAGATAGGCTGGTAGATAGTGCTGGGGAGGAGCCAGTGGTCGTGGTGCATGTTGGCACCAACGATGTGGGGAAATGCAGTCGTGAGGTCCTGGAGGAGAAATTTAGGCTGCTGGGCAGGAGACTCAAGGCCAGGACCTCCAAGTTAGCCTTCTCAGAAGTGCTACCTGTTCCACGCGCAGGGCCGGAGAGACAGGCACAGATCAGGAGTCTCAATGCGTGGATGAGACGATGGTGTAGGGGGGAAGGGTTCAGGTTTGTTAGGCACTGGGATTCTTTTTGGAACAAGAGGGAGCTGTACAGGCGAGACGGACTCCACTTGTCCCGAGAAGGAACCAGGCTGCTGGCGCTTAAAATCAAAAAGGTGGCAGAGCAGTTTTTAAACTGAATATTGGGGGAAAGCCGACAGGAGATGAAAAGTCTCTGGTTCGGGTTGGCTCATCTCAGAGAGATGAGGGGGTACCTGTTGCTTTTCTACAGGGAGGTGGATTGAAATTGTCCACTGAGAACTAGCTGAGAGAGAAAGAGGGAGATGCTTAGATAATCCAACTAGAAGAAAATAAGAACCATATAACCATATATAGTTAATGGAAGATTATACTAAAATACTTAGACAAAGGTTAAATTAGTAGAAAATAAGATTTATGTATCTATATCCTTGCAAAATATTATATGCATAAGGTGGAAAATTGACATAGTTTTAGATTACGTATGAGGTAAACTAACAGGAAAAAATGATATGTGTTAATGTACCGATTTTATATTTGTTTGTCTTGAAAATAAAAAATATTTGTAAAAAAAAACCCAAAAAACAAGTGAGGCAGTGGATGTTCTAAACAGGAGACTAGAGGCGTAATGGGCTGGATGAGAGCCATTAATGGAATCTCAGTGAAGACAACACAGAGGTGCTATTGGTCAGTTCTATACCAAAACAGGGATTGAGAAGACAGCCTGTATGGGATGGGGTGGCACACCCCTTGAAAGAACAGGTTTAGTTTGGGGGGGCTATTTGTTCCATGTTTATATCCAGAGGCTCTGATCTCCTCTGTGGCATGTTTCTTAGACCAGCTTTGGTTGATTCACTAGTTGTAGCACTTCGTAAAGAAAGGACTATAGAATGAAATTCTAATAACACTTTCCTGGAAGTAAGCCCTGACCCCATTAAGTAAACCAGAGTAGGATTCGAAGGCCCCTGCCACACGGCAGGGAAAACACTGGCCAAAGTGCGGCTTTTTAAAGCCGCACCAAAAAGAGATGCCGTGGCGGGATCCCATGATCCCCTGAGCCGCGGCGCTGTTGCTCCCCAGCACGATCAGATGCCGGGGAGGAAGAGACGATTGGGAGGGGGAGGCTGCCGGGGTGGTTCTTTTTTGCTGTGGGGTTTGGCCGGGAGGGGCAGATTGGGAACGGGCTGGGAACGGGCGCAGCATGATTCCCAGATGTTGCTGTGGGATCGTGCCCGGTTTCTGCGGCCCCGATCCGTCCCTCTCCCGGC